ACAGAGCCTGGAGCCTGTTTCAGATTCTGTGTCTCCCTCTCTCTGACCCTCCCCCGTTCATGCTTTGTCTCTCTCTGTCTCAAAAATAAATGTTAAAAGAAAATTTAAAAAAAACCTAAAAATAATTAAAAAATAAAAAAAAATAAAAGGTGACATTAAAACCATATGAGTGGAGAGGAGCAGCGAGTGAGTCTAGATTGAGAGAAGAGTACCTAGGACCACAGAACCATGGGAGGATAATGAGAAACCTCATAACCCTGCATCGGTATTGAGTCTCCTGTCCTCATTCTCCCATGAATGTTGGCGGAGATGTTTCTTGTCTGAAGCCAATCCTGGTGTGATGGTTTAGATTGCAGTGACCTTTGACGACGCAGTGACCTTTGATGACGTGGCATTGGACTTCACCCAGGAGGAGTGGATATTACTGGACCTTGCTCAGAGAAACCTATACAGAAACGTGATGCTGGAGAACTACCAGAACCTGGTCACAGTAGGTAAGGCTGCCAACATTCCTTGTAACATCTTTAGGAACAAATTTGTACTATGTATTTTTGGTGTTCCAGCCTTGGTGATGCCTAATCTGAAACATAATTGGAAATGAGAGATGCATAGTCCCTGCACTAATGGGTTGTAATCTTTAATGGGTTTTCCATAAATGTGGCATTAGGGCCAACAGTAACTAACACTATCATTGTTAGGAATTTACGTTGTCAGACCCCGGGTTTTGTTTTTAACATATATTTTTTTAATGTTTATTTATTTTTGAGAGAGAGACACACAGCACAAGCTGGGGAGGGGCAGAGAGAGGGACACACAGAATCGGAAGCAGGCTCCAGACTCTGAGCTGTTAGCACAGAACCTGACGTGGGGCTCGAACTCATAGACCACAAGATCATGACCTGAGCTGAAGTTGGACGCTTAACTGACTGAGCCACCCAGATGCCCCAAATCAGACCCTATTTTTGACATTCTGAATTATAAAGCTGGTGCTGTTGCCCTGTCTTCTATGTTCAATAAGCCATCCTGATGATTGCGACACACTCCAGCATTTGAGTACTATAGCTTTAGTGCTTTCCCCATCAAAAGGAAGGTCTCCTTTCCTCACCTCCTTTATTTGCTGTTTGGATAAATGTCTATGTGCTCTGTAAATGTGTACATACCTTTGGGTTAGGCTTTCAGAGTCAGAGATAAGTAATCTTTTGATTTGCTTTTCTAGTCCTTTTGAAATGATTTTACTGTTTTCATCAGAAGCTTTGTCATTTCTTACACAGTCCTCTTCTATTAATGTACCTTTCCCCCTGGACAGGATATCAACAGTCAAAACCCAGCCTAGTAGCTAGGTTGGAACAAGAAGAGTTGAGGACAGTGGAGAAAGAAGTTTTCCCAGGTGAGTGTTGTGACAGATATCGCTGGTGAATGAGAAGAATGTCACTAGTCAGTCTGAAATATGGCATACTCGCAATGTGTAAAATTTAAGATTCATTTTGTCTCATAGTGCTGAAACCATTTGTCTCTGATGTTTTTGCGTATCTTTAACTTCCTTCCCTCTTTTACTTAAGATTTCTATGATGTCACAAAGTGACCTGTTTCTTCTTTAAGATATCATTTTGGTAAACTTAGTTGTCCAGAGGTTTCCTACTTTTCTACCTTGATAATAGTCTGTTTTTGCTCACTATATTTAATTTTCCAAAAATTATTTTTTAGCAGACCACCAAAGTTTGACCATCTGCACTTAGTGCCAAATTTTCCCATAGACAAACTGCTGAAATCTTTTTTCTTTATTGTTTTATCAACACTTTTTTTAAATGTTTATTTATTTTGAGAGAGAGAGAATCCCAAGCAGGCTCCACCTGTTGGCATGGAGCCTGACATGGGGCTCAATCTCAAAACCGTAAGATCATGACCTGAGCCAAAATCAAGAATCAGATACTAAACTGACTGATCTACCCATGTGCCCCCTTTTTCACAGTTTTTAATATGAAAGTAAAGAAAGCTGAGTCTTATCTTTTTTTAATTGTTTAACCTATCATTTGTTCCTGCAAATGCTTACATTTGTTTTACTTTAGAATGGCAAACTCAACATCAAAGCAAAGAGTCACCATCTCTCCAGGATTTGGGGGAAGGAAAAACAGCCAGAGAAATTCAAAAAGTAAGGTTGAGTTGTGATATCTCCTATTTTTCCACATTAAAAAAAAGATTGGTAGTTTTGTTTTAAAATCAGTGCAAATAGGAGGTATTTGAGACAAGTGGCATTCATCCAAGAGAAAACAATTCAGAGATACTCGATTATGGTTTGGGAGGATAATCCAAACCTGTCTTGGAAGTTGTTGCTTCCTAGATACCACAAGTACAAGTTTCCGCATATATAAGAGGGATTGAGTCTAAACATTTTCCTGCAATTTTAGTGGAATGTTTCTAAGAGCAGAGTAGATGGCATCGGGTTTTGTCAGAGGAGTTCCCTCATTTAACTTGAAGGCAGTCAGCAGGAGCTGTGTTTATCTAATGAAAATGGGAAGAATCATCATGTTTTTAGCTTTATAAGTGTGAAATCTGTAATGAATCTGAAAATCCAATCATCAACTTTCATCTATTTATCAACAGGAAAGGACCCACCAGGGAGCAGAGCTCTCTGAGTATAAGCAAAGTGGGAAAATCTTAAGCCAACACTTACTCCTTAAGACACACATGAGAACGGAAAATAGAGAGAACACTTTTGAGCATACTCAGTATGCCAACAGCTTCCGTCCTCTGCAAAAGGAAAGAGCTACGAGAGAGAAGCTTTCTGAATTGAGTCAGGGTGGTAAAGTCTTCCACCTGACTCCACACAGCTTGTATGAGAGAACCAGTCTGGCAGAGAAGCCTTCTGAAAATAGTGGCTGTGGGATGACGTTCATTAGTCATTCCCACTTTCAGACACAGGGGAGAAGTCACGGTGGAGGAGACCTCGATGAATGGATGCTTCCATTTCCAGGGATCTCAGTTCCCTCAGCAGGTCACCCTGTGTATATGCAAATGCACACAGTTAGAGACCCCTATGAATGTAGGGAGTGTGGGAAGTGTTACGCAAATGTGAAACGTCTCAATAAACACATCAGTCGATTTCACGCTGGAATAAAACCATTTGTATGTAGCGAATGTGGAAAATCTTTCTACACTTCCTCACACCTTTATATACATTTTATGATTCACACTGGAGAGAAGCCCTATGAATGTAAAGAATGCGGGAAACACTTCCAGTGGCCCTCAATGCTTCGTAATCATGTTCAAACTCACACTGGTGAGAAGCCTTATAAATGTATGATATGTGGGAAAGCCCTCAGTAGTTCCTCATATCTTAATCATCATTTGAGAATTCATACTGGAGAGAAGCCCTTTGAATGTCAGGAATGTGGGAAATGCTTTGCTTGGATTTCAGGCTTTCGTAGACATGTTCAAACTCACAGTGGTGAGAAGCCCTATAAATGTAAGGAATGCGGGAAAGCCCTCAGTAGTTCCTCAATTCTTAAAGCACATTTGAGAATTCACACTGGAGAGAGGCCATATAAATGCAAGGAATGTGGGAAAGCCTTCATTAACTCCTCACGACTTAATGAACATTTGAGAATCCACACTGGAGAGAAACCCTATGAATGCAAGGAATGTGGGAAATCCTTCCACCTTTCTTCAAGCTTAGTTGGACATTTAACAGTTCACACTGGAGTGAAACCCTATCAATGTAAGGAATGTGGAAAAGCTTTTGCTTGGCCCTCATTCCTTAAAAAACATTTACGAACTCACAATGGATAGAAGACCTAGGAAGTGGTGAACGTGGGAAATTCCATTTGAGAACTCACAATAGAGCGAAGCCCTGTGAGTGTATGGAATGTGGGAAAGCCTACACCACTTCCGCATCTGTAAATACACATTTGAAGTCCCACTGGAGACAAGTCCTTTGAATGTACACACTGACTGAAGGCCTTCACTGTTTCCTCAAGCCTAACTCAACATGTAAAAATTGACCCCAGAGAGAAACTGTGAATGTAAAGAATGTGATAAAGCCTTCACATTGTCGTCATGACTTACTAAAACGCCTAAAAATGCACAATAGATAGAAGACTTACATACATGATAAACGTGGGAAAGCCTCAGTTTTTCCAGTTCATTTCAAAAACACGAAAGAAGCCACATTGGAGGAATACCGACTGAATATGAGAAATGTGGGAAAGTCTACAGGTGTCCCATTGAATACATGGAAGAACTCCCTAACTAGATCTTGTATGAAGTTAGCAATGTTGGAAAGCAATCAGGACACCCTACAACCCACGCTGGAACAACTGTGAAGTTGTTCAATGTGTAAGAGACGTGTGGAACTCCGCTAATAGGGTAGTTTTGTAGACCTGTGAACATGTGCCGCTCTACCCCCACTATTTTTGGGAATATTCAATAAAATATTCTTTATTCAGCTGTCTGTGCTATGCTAGTCGAGTTTCTACACCAGGTTGCAGTCTAGACCCATGTGAGACTAGCAGTTTTAGACTTAATGCTATTCAAACCACCTGGGTTCTCTAGTTGTATGGACCTTGTCTAATACTGTGAAGATGGTGACCACTTGAATTAGTTCACTGCTCATGGAATCCATCTGTATTCCCTCCTGCTGGCCAAGGTGGGTGACATATGTCTCTAAATTTTCTGGAAATGCTCTTGTCCCTCTCACACTTGATCCCTTTGGGTCAGGAAAGACTTTAGGAATGGTGTGGGTATACATCCTAATTTCATGGTCCTAGAAGGAGAGCAAGACTCCCAGTAGTAGGGAAGGAAATATTGTGTTAATTTTTGGTAGCTTCCCAGTGAGAGGCTGGGAATGGAGAATGTTCTCTTTGTTCTTACATCACCACATCCTGGAAGAACAATTATGTCATTTGTGTGTGTGTTCAGGAACAACTGCATCTGGCATGTGACTTGGTTAGTTTCTCATCCTTTTGTATGCTATAAAACACAAAACCATGTGATTATGGCAGGTCCTGGTATCCTGATGTACTTGATGCATCACTGGCAGTTCTTGAAAGTGGTCTTTGGATAGAGACACAGACCATCACAACCTAGTTTCAATTTTGTGTGAACACATTCATTATACCTGTGACACTTGAGTAGCCTTTGGTTATGTTGTGGGTGGCCGTGGAGGCTGCAGCTGCTTAATGTCACTTCCTATGGGGCTTAATGAAACCAGTGTAGAACATTCCGGATCAAGCTTAATGATAAATCCTGATCAGAAGTGACCTGGGCACATTTGTGGTATGTTTGTGTTTGGATGAGATTGGGTTACAGTGTGATTCTCTTGGGTATGGGTGTGGTCTTCACTGCTTTGAGTGGGTTGTAGCATATAATACATTGGCCTTCCTTAGGTGACATCATTAGTCATCTCAAAGCCTACATGTCTTACCTAACGGAACTTGTTCACAGTCAAATGAGACTAAGTCCTTGACTTCACGGTTGAGGTCAGTACTGCAGGTTGGCCTTATCTAACTACTTGGACTAGTAGTAACAGCGTTATTAAGTGTTGCATGAGATAAGTCAAACAAGTGAGCTCCGAATCTCTGGTATTAGTGGATAACAAAGTTGTATATGAAGTGGAAAAAGTGCCAGAAGTCTATTTATTTTTCATGTTTTCTTAATGAAAAGTTCTTAGTTTTGTGAGTCAGATTTATAATTTTCTCATGTATCCAGATATTTTGTTGTACCTTGTTTATATATATTCTGCGATCTCATATTTTTGTATTTATGTAACCCATCTGAAGTACTTTAGTGTATGGTATGACTCTATGTCTGATTGTCTCTCTTGCTTAGATATCAAAATTACCTGGACCATTTACTGAAAAGATAATCTTTCTTTTTGTCTCTATAGTGCCACTTCTGTCATTGCTTAGATTTCCATATATTTGTGTGTTTCTAAGTATGATTAATTGATTTTCCAATGTTGAACCAATCTTGTAATTATAGAAAAAAACTCAATTTGGATATAATGAATTTTGTGTTTAGCCTGAATTATTTTATTTACTGGCAATTTGAGACGTCTTTTTGGGTAATAATGGGGTGTAGTAGTCTTTGTCTGTCATTGCTCGAAACTTTTTTTTTTTTCCTTAAGTAATCTCTGTGCCAAACTAGGGCTCAAACTCAAGACCCTGAGAGTGAGTTGAATGCTCTACCCACGGAGCAAGCCAATCAACCCTGAAATTTTTAATGAAAATTGGCCTATTCTTTAGTCAGTGCATATACTTACTTCATGAATCTCTAAATCATTTTTGCAGATTAGAATTAGAATATTTTGTGCACTGGACTTTCAACCCATAAGCAATGTCTCCCCCTATATTTGCATGCAAAGACATTTAGTGTATTCTAATCTTCAAAAAAAAATTTTTGTATTTTTTTGGTCTACATTTCTCTGAAAATCAGTGGTGTTGATCATCTTTTCCTGTGTTGGCCATCTGCCTTTTTTGGAAAAATGTACAGTTGGGGTCCTCTGCTTATTCTTTTTTTTTTT